TATGCCTCTTCTTCTTCCTTCTTCCTTCCTTCTAGATATGGAGTCTTACTGTGTTTCCTAGGCTGGTCTCAAACTCCTGGCCTCAAGTGATCCTCCTGTCTCAGCCTCTCACAGCACTGAGATTACAGGTGTGGGGCACCACACCCAGCCTGTTAGTGATTCTCTCCCATTTCATTCAGTCCTCAACCCACTGCATTCTCCCTTTTTCTTCCCCACATCTCTGATGCTGCTCTCAGGGTGACCTTTATACAACCCAAACCAGTGGTCACTTCTCTGTCTCTATCTCTTGTGTGTCATTAGTGTGTTTGTGATGCATCCGCTCCTCCTTCCTGGACTTTTTCTCCTGTCTGTTGTCTTTTATGAACCCACTTCCTCTTTGTTTTCCTCCTACTTTCTAGTCTTCTCCTTTTCAGCCTCCTTTTTCATGTCTGTGTTTGTCTGGATGCAGGAGCACACACTCAGACCCTTGCTATTCTGACTTTATGTACTTTTCTTGAGTGACCCGATCCAAATGTAGAACTTCGCTTATAATGAGTCTCCTTCCAGTCTATGTCACTAACCTAGTGTAGCCTGGGACCCATCCATTTAGCTCACTGTCCTCAGATTAACTCCATTTGTTCCCACAGATATTCAAACTAAGCATGTTCCAAACAGAACATCTAACCTTCTCTCAATTATTTCATTTTTCATCACCTTTGCAGTCACTGATGCCACAGTTCTCCACACTGTCTGGGTATTCTGGACTCCTTCATATCCCTACTTCTGGCACAAGATTTAGTGATTCCTGTGGCCTCTCATGTCATTACTGCCATTCAAACCCGTCTGCTGTCTCCCTCACCCCATGTTCCTGCCCCTGCCTACACCCTCATGACTTCCCACCTGATGGCTGAAGAGTTGTACTGGTCTTGCTTTCAAACCAGCCTCCTCCAACCCATCCTCCTTACCACTACCCCCTCCACACACAAATCTCATCATGCTACTGTCCTGCTTAAGATGCTTCACAACCTGCCATGTCCAGTGGGATAAAATGCAAACACCTGCCATCAGCACACAAGGCAGGTTACAGTGCAGCCCAGCCCACATCCCACCTGGCTTCAGTCACGCTGAAGAACTGCAGTTCTCCTTGCAACTTCATGCCTCTCTGCTCCTGAGCCTGCTTCTCCTGCTGGAAATGCCATTTCCCCTTTCTCTGTTTTGCTAACCTCAGGTAAACACGGTCCCCAGGAACCTTTCCTAAATCTCATTTTTAAAAAGTGCCCTCTTTATGCTCCTGAGTGGCTCCAGTGTATATCTTATGGTATTCAGTGGTGATCAAAACAACCTATGGAAATAAAAAATTAAAAAAACACGAAATAAAATACACATGTAGCAATCTTCTTTTCTTTATCTCTTTGGATTTTGGATTTCAAGCAGCTTGAGGACAAGGCCCCTGTCTTCTGAGTTACATCCTTAGTGCCTAGAGAGCGAACATTCACAATGAGTGTTTATTTAATGGAATGAAAATTAACATTTGAAGGTGGAATTTGCTTTAAAATGCACAGACCTTTAGTTTTAGACTGTGTGAATATAATAAAAACAACGTAACCTAAGGTAAACAAACTACACCTCTGTGGCACAGCTTGTATGTCACGTTTTTCATTTGGTTTTTCTTTGGGCTTCGTTTCTGTAGGTGAATAATTCTGTAGCCCATAAACTCGGTGGAGGATCCTCAGCATCCATGTGTGACACTGAACGTGCTGTCACTTGATGCATCCAAGGAGAGGACTGGTTTTCTCCGTGTTGGGCTTGGAGGGGAAATCCTCGCTTAGGGAACAACAACCATGCAGTGTCATTTCGCTTCGCTTCCTCTTCCAGGCTGAACCCCGTGCTCTCTCATCTTTATTCTTTTACTGTAATAGTAATAGACTTTTTTGTTGTCAACCTTTTGCTGCTTCTTATACATCAGGTAAAGCTAAGATACTATCCCATAGGTGTTTCAAATGCAACAACTTTTATTTCCAGGTAAAACTACACTTGAAAATACACATTCAACAAGAACATTTTGTGAATGTTATGTGAATGACAACACTTTTAAATTTGCTATGCCTTAAAATGAAAGTGTTTTGATAAAATTATATAAGGTACCATTTTTATTCTAAAAGTAAGAACATAACTTGGAGTCTACAAATAGCACTAAGACTCTGGAGGTCTTTTCATGTCCTGCATTATTTTTTTCCCCGAAAGATTTTGATTTCATCTCCCCACTTCCCTGCCTTGCTCTGTGGCTATATCAGTATTTTTTATGTCTGGTCCTGTAGGGGTTCTGAGACCCTGTGGGAATGGGGTAGGGGGACTATGCAATTTTGTTTTTACCAGGAGTTGTGTGACTTGGGCAAGTTACTTTATTTCTGTGGTCAGTTCCCTAATATGTAAAATAATTTCTTCTGTTAAATCAAGTTTAGCCTAAACTTGGTTTAACATATTTTAAGTTTGGCCTAAAGGTTTCTCTGTACATCACGAACAAGTGGAGGTGTAAACAGACCGTAGCCTACAGTTGTGCCAATCACCAAGTTTTGGCCAATCATATGTAGCCAACTGTTTGAACCGTGTTCAAGTTAGGCAGACATTGAGCTGTAACCAATCTGGCTGTTTCTGTACCTCACTTCTGTTTTCTGTGTGTTACTTTTCTTTTTCTGTCCGTAAACTTTCTTCCACCACGCGGCTGTGCTGGAGACTTTGAGCATACTCTGGCTTGGGGGGCTGCCCGATTTGTGAATTGTTTATTGCCCAATTAACCTCATTTAAAATTTATTCGGCTGAAGTTTTTCTTTTATCAGGTGGTGTCAGAAGTGGGGTTGGAAGTAGAGCTTCTAATGAGCCCCAGGAGTGCTGAGTGACCTAGCAAGGTACACTCCGGGCTCATTGTGTCTCCTCTCTCAGAGCAGCTGGGGATCGTGGGAAGTTCTCTCTCAGATTCTGAAGCTCCACAGATTTGTGTGTGTTGAGCTCTCTTGAGTTTCTTTGAGTAAATTTCTGATCCTGATTGGGTTTGAAAGTAGCAAAAGAAATTGAACTGAGTCCAGGTTTGGATTGGCTCCAGTAATTAACTGGCTTGGATCTAGTTAGAGGCCTCTTACATCTAACTGGATCAGAAAGCAACCAGTATTAAATGGCAATATTGCAAGGGTGTAAAATTTGGCTTTTGGAAATTCACAGGGATTTTTGTGTTCTACTCCTTTGTTTCATTTTTCTTGTGCACTTATATAGGAAAAAAAAAATCATTGGCTAAGTTGAACAAGGGAACCTGAGAGCAAAGCCAGTATTTGAGATAAAAACGTGATCCTTAATTTCTGAAGAACTGAATTCCTTTTGGATTACACATGCATAAGTATTAGGCCCTGGAAGGAGCAAAGTCTTACGGAAATTGTCAGCGTGGTGGCTCACACCTGTAATCCCTGCACTTTGGGAGGCCAAGGTGGGTAGATTGCTTGAGGCTAGGAGTTTGAGACCAGGCTGGCCAACATTGTGAAACCCTGTCTCTACTAAAAATAA